ACAACACACTGTAGCCCTCACTACAGCCCTACACAATACACCGTAGCCCCTCACTACAGCTCTACACAACACACTGTAGCCCTCACTACAGCCCTACACAATACACTGTAGCCCTCACTACAGCCCTACACAATACACTGTAGCCCTCACTACAGCCCTACACAATACACCGTAGCCCCTCACTACAGCCCTACTCAATACACTGTAGCCCTCACTACAGCTCTACACAATACACTGTAGCCCTCACTACAGTTCTACACAATACACTGTAGCCCTCAGTACAGCTCTACACAATACACTGTAGCCCTCACTACAGCCCTACACAATACACTGTAGCCCTCACTACAGCCCTACACAATACACTGTAGCCCTCACTACAGCTCTACACTGTAGCCCTCACTACAGCTCTACACTGTAGCCCTCACTACAGCTCTACACAATACACTGTAGCCCTCACTACAGCTCTACACAATACACTGTAGCCCTCACTACAGCTCTACACAATACACTGTAGCCCTCACTACAGCCCTACACAATACACTGTAGCCCTCACTACAGCTCTACACAATACACTGTAGCCCTCACTACAGCCCTACACAATACACTGTAGCCCCTCACTACAGCTCTACACAATACACTGTAGCCCTCACTACAGCCCTACACAATACACTGTAGCCCCTCACTACAGCTCTACACAATACACTGTAGCCCTCACCTCAGCCCTATACAAATATTACCAGAAGCTGCCGTGAAGTGCAACATTGACCCAACAATAACAATCACTAAGTACACGCAAAAGCCTCATCCAGTTGACACACGCTGGCCAAAAGTACATTCAAATTACTGCCATCTTGGCGCTCTTGCCCTGATAATTCCCTCCCCTCATCAAGCACAAACTTTGTCTTCATGTGTACAATACATGCACAACTTAAAGGCTAACACACTTCCAAAACCAGGAAAGTATTATATAATTTATGGTCTAAAAAACTGAGTAAAGGTTTACACAACAATGGCGTCCGGTGTGACAGCAGGTGAAGGGAAGACAAATATTGGTTCAGCATTAGCAACTGTCCACACGTCCAGGAAGCCGCGTTTACTGTGGGATTTGTGTGGTTCCAAACCTTGACGCTCTGGATAATTAGACAGTTAAAGAATTCAAGACGCAAGTAACCAGTTATGAAACTATGAGCGCTGATGTACTTTTGAAGTACAGGAAAAAATAATCCGTTCAGGGCTGAAAAAGCTCCACCTGAGTCTAGTCCTGCAATGTCATCGCTGCTCTTTAGTTAAACAACCCCAAACTAATCACTCTATCCTAATATATGCTAACCTAACCTAACGTCGTGAAAGTATTTGTAAAAATTGTATTTTTTGTATTTATGGCGAGTGGAGAGTGTGTGGCGTCACTGTGACGTATTGTGGCCACACCCGTGGATCTTTTTGGACACGACTGACTCACAGCGCCCACTGACACCTAGCCACAAGTGTCAACAACGCCGCCATCGTCACCGTCACCCGTAATGGTCAAACAAACGTTTGTTTATCCTGTGGGAACGTTCTCGCCACACACAGAACCAACCACCTGAGGAACGGAACCAACAGTAAATAACTTCTCAGCGAAAACCCAAACACTGAACTCCAAAGAAAGATAAGAAGAAGCTGAAAAATATGAACAAATCTAAAACTAAGGGACAGAAGGAACTTGGTGTGAGTTCCGGTCCTCCGCCCGTCGGCCACTTCTGGAACGAGTGTTGACCTATTAGACTGTGATTGATGGTCGAACAGTATCGGACAGGAAGGGAGGAGAGAGAGAAAGGTGAGGGAAGAGAAACTGGGGGAGAGAAGCAACGGAAATAATTGGAAGGGAGAAACAAGAACCTAAATAATATGTGGAACAAAATGGACGAGACGTGATGGTTTGTGAGGGGAGGGGGGGGGTCAAGAAGGAGGAATTAAAGTAAGAAGGAGTGAAGGAACTTGAAGACAAAGGAAATGTGAGGGAGACAAAGACTATATGAATAAACAGGAACTGGGGAAAGAAGATAAGAGTGAGAGACGTCTCGGGAGACACTTAGAGCAAGGGGAGCCGGTCGGCCGAGCGGACAGCACACTGGACTTGTGATCCTGTGGTCCTGGGTTCGATCCCAGGCGCCGGCGAGAAACAATGGGCAGTTTCTTTTACCCTATGTCCCTGTTACCTAGCAGTAAAATAGGTACCTGGGTGTTAGTCAGCTGTCACGGGCTGCTTCCTGGGGGTGGAGGCCTGGTCGAGGACCGGGCCGCGGGGACACTAAAGCCCCGAAATCATCTCAAGATAACCTCCCCACCAGAGTCTGGGGGAGGAGAGATGGAACTGGATAAGAAACTGGCTCAACGTCAAGGAATACTGATAACTCTGTGGACGGGAAAGGTACATGAGATAACAGAAAGAATTGTCACATCACAGCTTCTGGGCCATTAAAGGAGGAGAGAGAGAGAGAGAGAGAGAGAGAGAGAGAGAGAGAGAGAGAGAGAGAGAGAGAGAGAGAGAGAGAGAGAGAGAGAAAGACAGAGAGAGGGATTTGGAGTGGGGGCATTTGGCTGGCGGGGTGATATAAGAAATCTGATATAACATAAGTAATCAACAGGTGGAGGGATGTGTGGGTGCTGGCAGCCTGAGTGAAGAAAGCAGAAGTGAACTTGATCACAACCACTCCTGAGGTTGACACTAAGAACACCAGCGGCACCGTGACACACTTCTGCCACCCTTCTAACTGGGCCACGACTGATCTCACCCTCCTCTTGATGTTTTAGATTCAGGTTACCGGAACACAAAGTTCCAGGTAGCACGGGCTATGGTGATCCCCGACTTACCTGGCACAGGAGCGGGGCTGTGTGTTGCCTTAGCGTCCGTTGATTGACTGATGAAAGTTAAGCCATCCAAGAGGTGGCACGGGTATGAATAGCCCGTAAGTGGTAGATTTTTTTTAGTAAATGTATACTGTGTGGTGAGGTCGCATTTAGCCCGAGTGTCCACAGTCACCCCGTCTTATACAGTGGTCGTCACTGTAGCACGATACATCACTGTATCAACACCTTAACATACCTCTAAAATATAATTATACGATGTAAATCATACAAGTTACAGGTACGGAAAATTTGTTGTAAGTTATAATAATTATTTATGAGTTAAAAAAAAGGCTTATGTAAACATCAGCTGTTTGATCAAGTGGTGTTGAGCTGCCGTGCAGAGGACGAGTATGGGAGTGCACAATTAAGCAAATATTGGTGGTCGTCTCTAACCCGTAGTCGTGACCCCACCTGGTGACAACCACGACCCCTGTCTCACCCACTGAGGGCGCTGATGGTGACTTGTGTCCTCCCAGTTACCACACCACTTTACTCCCCGCGATGTCAGTACCCGAACGTACGTGGGACAGTGAAAGGTACCACCAACACCGACCTTCATCCGTCCTATCACAGATCTCGATGATAAACACGAGCTTGCACTGAACGATAGAGCGACGGTCTCGCTTCAGCCAGGTTGGCGTTCAATCCCCGACCGTCCAAGTGGTTGGGCACCATTCCTTCCCCCCTTTCCCCTGTCCCATCCCAATTCTTCCCAAGTGTTGTATAGTCGTAATGGTTTAGTACTTTCTCCTGATGCTAAGATATATATAACCTTACATACCTTCAACACAGAAATGTTGGATTTTGAAGTCAACTTTCTCATCAACCTGACCGTAGCATGATCCCAGCTACGGTTGTCAGGCAACAACGTATGTGAGACGAGAAGAGGTGTATGGGTGGTGGAAGAAGCGGGGTGTGGATAGATGTGATGGACGCAGTGGTGTCTGAATAGAAGGTTAGTGGAGTGAGGTTCTTTATAGATGATAAGCATGCGAGGGAGGGACGGTGGCCAGAGGCAGGCCATCACCCGACCTCGGGTCAATATTGTCACACTCTCTCGGACACTCCCATGGTCAACACATGCTAATTACCTGCATTATCACTGCTACACAGCCGCTCTCTTCCCGCAGGTCATTGTGTCTGGTAATTACCTGTGGCTTTATCTCACATACCTAATTACTTTAGCAAATTATTTCACCTTTTGTATATTTTTATACCGGGAGGGATACCTGGTGGTAGCCGGGATAGTCTGTCTCTATCCCCACTCCTCTCTATCCCTTTCCCCTCTTCCCTCTACCCCCATTTCCCCCTCCCCATCTCCTCACCCTCCCCTCTGTACCCTCCAACCTCGAACAGATAAACATTTCAATTCAGATATAAAATAAATCATGAAAATGAGCAGGTAAAATTGAATAGCTTCCAAACTCTACGGACAATACAACTCCGATTTCATTTCCAACTTCATGACTATCGCATAGTGGGTTTGGGTTACAGCCTATATTTCTTAAAGCATTTAACTCAGGCCTAACTCGACTAACCTATGTCCGGCCCATACCCAAGACTATTTCCTGACAAATTTGGGTGTGGCTGGCTCTAAGCATCTGGCCTCCACCTTTGGACAGAGGGAGAGACAATCTCTCTCTTATAGGCCAAGATAATATACCTTATGTATATTAGTGTATAATGGTGTATAGTATACACCAGATGAGGGGAACTCAGTGTATTCATTATACTGCAGCTGTTGTAGGAAATGGCTCATCGTAGTGTTCATTATACCTTTGTTCGTGTGTTCGTATGTTGTTTTTCATTGTACATATGCGCAAAAAAATTCTCTATCTTGTGTTAAAGACAGAAATTAATAATGAACATTTGCATTTTACATTATATTATCACCAGTTTTGAAATGGTTATATATATATATATATATATATATATATATATATATATATATATATATATATATATATATATATATATATATATATATTCTGTATTGATTATTTTCTTGTTTAGAGGTTCTATCCCTCTGACTAGTGCTCTTGCATCTTGCTTTAATTGGAAGAGAATTCCTCCAAATGTCATCATTGTTCGAGGTGAAATAAAATCAATAATTAATTGTAGAATATATTACACTTATTATAAATTTACACAACGTTTCGAACCTACATGGTTCATTATCAAGTGAAGAGACAGTGATTGATTGATCGATGAAGATTAAGCCACGCATTCATGGCACGGGCATGAATAGCCCGTAGAAGGGACAGTGCTGGGCGTATAGGATTTACACCATTAGGGAGGTCATAAAACAAAAAGGCAAGGAAGAATAGGGGCATAAATGGGTGAAGGATAGGGGGGACGTAAATAGGGAAGAAGCATATACAAAGCTTCGTACATACATATAATGTTCCCTGGAGATGAGAGGATGCTCACTTCCTGATCCTGATGGCTACGAGGGTGATGGCCAGGTGGATGAAGAGCCAGGCGACAGTGATGATGTAGCCGAGGTAGACAGTAGAGTGGGTGATGTCCCAGCCCTTGTACAGCACGGCGCGGATAGCCTCGCACGCGTACGTCTGAGGCAAGATGTACGACACGTACCTGTCGGAACGGGCACCATCTTTGTCAAAACTATTGTTTGTGGAACGGATTACCAGCTAACATAACTGAAATACTCTATTCATGCATATTTGTAAATTTATACAAGCGGTAAATTTGTATAAACTGACGTAACGTCAGCTTACACAAATTTGCCGGTAATTATAGATATTGGATCGTTTCAAGGTAATTAGACATAATATATAAATTGGGTTTGGATATAGGGGCTGCCCTATATGAGCCAACAAATAAAAGGCCTACAATTTCCATATTTTTTATGTTTTTTTTTCAAATTTTACGATGAGGCTGCAATGTTAGGCTAGAAGCTTGCTTACTTATTCTCTCCTCGCTAGGCTAAAGTGCTCATGATGATTTCAAGCTCGTTAAATGATGGGAATTGGCTGGTTAATCAAAGCTTGAGAGACTTGATCAGTGTTGTTAGGGAAAGGAGTGTGGTCAGTTAGGTAGGCTGACCTTGAATTTAATTTAATGATGATATTTAGGTCTATTTCTAAGCACTGGAATCAAAAGATTTTTCAGTACAGCTGAAAATTATTATACTGATACGTCAATACTGCTACATCAATACTGCTCATGAATACTACTGCATCAATACTATTGTATGAATACTGCTACATTAATACCGCTACATCAATACTGCTAATATCAATACTGCTATATCAATACTGCTATATCAATACTGCTCCATCAATCCCGCCACCACCTGATACCCCTCCCCCCTACCACCACCACGACCCCCACCACAGACCTGAGAGCCACAGGGATGCCCTGCACAGGCCAGACTATCCCTGAGAGGAGCAGCAGGGGGTAGAATATCCCCAGAGCCATCATGATTGCTGTGTTCTCGTCGTTGGAGAGCGCTGACGTCATCAGCCCTGCAGAACAAGAACAATTGTATAATTTAAGCAATAAATCTACAGAGAAAAATCTAATTGCTTTAAAAAAATGAAGCGTAATAAATCCTATTGAATTAACTAACCGTCGTGTATACAATTTATATATATATATATATATATATATATATATATATATATATATATATATATATATATATATATATATATATATATATTTCATGGTTCGAAATCCCATTACAGTCCAAATCTAGTTTCTGTAGGTCATTTTCTTTTATTGTTAAAAGAAAAAAAGTCACATTAATCACACCTGCTCATAAACATTCACGTTTTCTATGCTTGGGGTCCATCGGTTAAGTTCGGGTGTTTTAGAAATTTAGAACACCATTTTCTCTCCGTTGTGGCAACCACGTTTTAAGGGCTAGACAATGTATAATGTTTATTTGTTGTGTACTTGCATTCTTATGTAGCTGTAGAAAGTTAAATTCACGAAAGACCTGGGTAAATACTGGTTTGGAAACATGGTTGCTCGTTTATGAAACCAATTACCGGGTAACAATAGGCATGGGATAGCCGGAGTGTTTCAAGCGTAGGTCAGACATATAAACAGTGGATATATATAAACAGGAGCTGCCTGTAACGGGTTGTTGTTGTTTAAGATTCGCTGCCTAGAACAAAAAGTTCCAAGTAGCACGGGCTATGGTGAGCCCGTACAGGCTTTGTGCGCGGACTCACTCACCGAAGGTCATGCCGCAGAAGCCCTGGAGGATAGAGAGGAGGACGACCCATAGCATGTTGCCCTCACACGGCAGCTTGAACACCGGGAACATGAACACCAAGATGAGCGCGATCTGCACCAGCATCACCAGCATCTGTGTGGCCAGGTGGGCCAACATCACCTCGCTTGACTGCACACCTGAAACCATGGACCTTCTGTTAAATTACGGTCCTGTTGGAGACCTAAGTGAATTAGACAGTCCCTGAGGACTGTCTAATTCACTCATAAACCCCCCCCCCTTCTATAAACCTCTCTTCATAGACCCCTTTCTGTAACTTTCTCACTCCATAGAGTGAGTTCTCTTTCTCACTCTTCTATAAGGTATCTTCTCATAGACCTCTTCTATAGTCTCCTCTCCTCATAAACGCGTTATATAACTTCCTCATAACCCCTTCATACTTCTTCTCGTCCTCCTCCCCCCCCCCGGCTCAAAAACACCTCCCTGCTCATGCTTGCACTGTGCCCGTCTCCTCCCAACACCTGACGTCTGTCTGTGTGCAGGTGACGGTGTTGTAAACTAGGCGAGCGCGGCTCTGACGTCCTGTGGATCCCTATAAACATCTGTCGCTCTGTTTACAGTTGACATGTGTGGCTTGTTTATGCCTCGGTGTGTGTGTGTGTGTGTGTGTGTGTGTGTGTGTGTGTGTGTGTGTGTGTGTGTGTGTGTGTGTGTGTGTGTGTGTGTGTGGTAGAGAGTCGTACTCACCAGAGACCCACGACCGGTCAAGGAGACCTTCCTTCCTCTCGATGATAAAGGAGAGAGCTGTCAGCCCCACCGCCATGAAGTAAGTGATCCTGCCAAGATAGGAACAGGCCCAGGTCAAGGTCTAATGAATACCGGATTAAATAATAGCATGATGTACACAGGACTAATTCATATCGTCATGCAAACAGCCCTGCGTAATGAGGTAATGCAACAGATCTTATCAGATCGCATTAATAACCCTCCAGAGGGTGATAAGTTATATGCCCAACACCACACTTGCTGGCAATACATACGTGAGGATGACACCCGGGGCCATAAACTCGGTGAAGGAGGCGCCAGAGGAACCATACACTGGTTGGTTGAACTGTGGAGTAAGTCTTATGATCAATGTTATGTATTATATTGAGTTCGTGCAAAGTCAGCTGGAGGTACACGAATATTTGTGGTACAGTTAAGGATACATGTGGAACCAGCTTGGGCCATAGGAAGATGTGGTACAGTATAGTGTACACGTGGAACCAGATGAGGCTACATGAATTCTTGTGGAACAGTGTAGGGTAAGAGGTAGCCTATCAGCCAGAGCTGCAGTGATCTGTGTTCTTGTGTAGCCCGCCAGCTCGGGCAATAACAATAAAAGGTGTGTGGTGGTCTATGAAGGCCTATACAAAGCCATATGAAGATAAATGAAAAATTCAGGGAGGCTAGACACAAAAAATAAACTTAACTCTTTTTAAAACACGTGGGATTATTTGAGGTAAATCGTGAACCAGCACGGTTTATGAGAACTTATGGAATATTTGAGGACACATACAGAACCGGTTGAGACTATGACTGAACTTGTAAACCTATGTGAACATGTAAGTGGCAGGAACTGGTAGGGACATGCAGGGCAACATTACCTTCAGAGGAAAAGACAATTTACTGACGTCGATGGTAATGTTAAGGAACTCTTCAGGTATACTTATCAGTTTCTTTATGAATCTATCAAGAGTATTCAACAGCTCGTAATCCAGAGTAGCCGTAATCTCAGAGTCTGAAAGGTAATAATAGTTCATTAGTACATATAGACACACTTCGTCATAGCAAATGCACAAAATAAGTTCGATTAGTGTTTAATCAACAGAGGCTGAAGGCCAGTTACTTTGGACTAGCTTCACCCAATGCGTCAGGATGACACATTGGGGGTGTGTGAGTGTCATAGGCTGCTCAGCGGCGGCCACATTGCCTTCTATAAGAAATACCAGCATCATCATTAAAGTTGTTTCAGTTCTTCTTAATAATAAATATTCTGAGTGAAGGGGCATTACACCTACATCAAACATGTTTCACTCGCGAAAAAAAGGCACAGTAATTTTATCGAATCTTTGAACATGCTGAAAATCTCCCTATCACAATGTAAAACTTGTACGGCCCATTTCACTAAATGGTCAACTAAAAGCAATAACAATCGCAAGACCTTCAACTTGCATCTACAATACACTCAAATTACAAGTTCCACTCACTAGTAATGTCCATATATAGATTGATCTTGCTCTGTTCCTTGTCCTCGGGCTTGATGACGGGAATAGTGTTGTTATTATCGAGGTAGAAGGCAATTATGCCTTTAGTGAAGGACTCGTTGAAGAACACGAGACCCCAAGCATCCCCGTCCACCACCGCCTGGTAGCCGTCCTCGAAGCTCTCGTAGAAATTCTGCAGTAAATGTGTAAGTATTGGTGCATTAGAAGTGTAAATATTTGTAAGTGACGACTGCCCGCCTGAAACTTGCCACATGCCTTCCGCTTTATAGATGTGGGTTGAGATTTTTAAGCCACGATATTATGGCTTATTTTCAGCATATTGGTAATATTATTGATAATATAGGTATTGAAGGTTGAGTTTGATTCGTATTGATTGATTCCTCTACTGGGGGCAGGGTGGGGGGGGGGGTTGGTCATCAATGACTGTAACCACCATTAGGCTAGTACTAGTTCAGTGTGTGTGTGATTTTGTAGCCTAATTAACATCAATTTTTGTCATCATTCAAACATTTATAGCAATTCATATGGTTTTCACAAGTATATACGTATCTACACATGTTATCATGCATGGCCAAGTCAACAACGGCTTATTCCACAGCGTGCTAAATAGCGCGCTCATAAAAGTCAAACGAAAGCCTTAACAACTTCCAGGGTAGAGAATCATAATTGCCTTTGAGGGATTTGGCACACAAATTTGTTTCCTTCAGAAAATTAACATCTTGAAAAATGATCTGTCTATTCATATGTATTTATATTTCCTTATAAAAAAGGAATTCCATACTTTCCAGGGCGAGTCGTGACCGTTTGAAGACCGCGAAAAGCCCTCAGTGCCGTCGCAGCTGTCATGGAGGGCGCACGTCACTTGACCTTTCGGTAATTGGCCGCGGACTGTCGCGTTCGTTATGTGTTGAATTACTCTACTGTAGTGATCGTTGAGCCATTAATGACGACCAGCCGTGGACAGTTAAGCCAATGGCTATTGTGCGTTCCTAGTTTGCGACCGCGGGAGACAGGATAAGATTGAACATTGTGAACCAAAGTTCAGTGTAGTGTCGTAACTTTTACCATTGTTCACGAGTGCAGCTAAAGACAAACGAGTTCCATATTGCACATTCATAAAATAGGCGAAACAAATTTCAAACATGTGTGACGCAAACACGATTACAATTTGGAATTCTGAAGGACATTATAAAACTGAAAGAGGCAAACCCTCGACCTATCCTAAGCAATCCTAGGTCTAACATATATACGATGTTAGGGGCCTAAATTTACTCTAGCACATGGAAGGGCTACGAGGATCAGGAGCTGGGATAGGAATGAGAGAAGGAACGGTGCCCAATCACTTTTAACCATCGGGTATCGAACGCCGACCTGCAAGAAGCGAGATCGTCTCTGTACCGGCGTCGTACACTAGCTGCCAGGTGGTGTGGCTGGTGTACACTAGCTGCCAGTAGTGTGGCTGGTGTCGTACACCAGCTGCCAGTGGTGTGGCTGGTGTCGTACACCAGCTGCCAGTGGTGTGGCTGGTGTCGTACACTAGCTGCCAGTGGTGTGGCTGGTGTCATACACTACCTGCCAGTGGTGTGGCTGGTGTCATACACTACCTGCCAGTGGTGTGGCTGGTGTCATACACTACCTGCCAGTGGTGTGGCTGGTGTCGTACACTACCTGCCAGTGGTGTGGCTGGTGTACACCAGCTGCCAGTGGTGTGGCTGGTGTACACTAGCTGCCAGGTGGTGTGGCTGGTGTACACTAGCTGCCAGGTGGTGTGGCTGGTGTACACTAGCTGCCAGTGGTGTGGCTGGTGTCGTACACCAGCTGCCAGTGGTGTGGCTGGTGTCGTACACTAGCTGCCAGGTGGTGTGGCTGGTGTACACTAGCTGCCAGTGGTGTGGCTGGTGTCGTACACCAGCTGCCAGTGGTGTGGCTGGTGTCGTACACTAGCTGCCAGTGGTGTGGCTGGTGTCGTACACTAGCTGCCAGTGGTGTGGCTGGTGTCATACACTACCTGCCAGTGGTGTGGCTGGTGTCATACACTACCTGCCAGTGGTGTGGCTGGTGTCATACACTACCTGCCAGTGGTGTGGCTGGTGTCGTACACTACCTGCCAGTGGTGTGGCTGGTGTCATACACTACCTGCCAGTGGTGTGGCTGGTGTCGTACACTACCTGCCAGTGGTGTGGCTGGTGTCGTACACTACCTGCCAGTGGTGTGGCTGGTGTCGTACACTAGCTGCCAGTGGTGTGGCTGGTGTACACTACCTGCCAGTGGTGTGGCTGGTGTCATACACTACCTGCCAGTGGTGTGGCTGGTGTCGTACACTACCTGCCAGTGGTGTGGCTGGTGTCGTACACTACCTGCCAGTGGTGTGGCTGGTGTCATACACTACCTGCCAGTGGTGTGGCTGGTGTCGTACACTACCTGCCAGTGGTGTGGCTGGTGTCGTACACTACCTGCCAGTGGTGTGGCTGGTGTCGTACACTACCTGCCAGTGGTGTGGCTGGTGTCGTACACTACCTGCCAGTGGTGTGGCTGGTGTCGTACACTAGCTGCCAGTGGTGTGGCTGGTGTCGTACACTACCTGCCAGTGGTGTGGCTGGTGTCGTACTCTACCTGCCAGTGGTGTGGCTGGTGTCGTACACTACCTGCCAGTGGTGTGGCTGGTGTCGTACTCTACCTGCCAGTGGTGTGGCTGGTGTCGTACACTACCTGCCAGTGGTGTGGCTGGTGTCGTACACTAGCTGCCAGTGGTGTGGCTGGTGTCAAACACTACCTGCCAGTGGTGTGGCTGGTGTCGTACACTAGCTGCCAGTGGTGTGGCTGGTGTCATACACTACCTGCCAGTGGTGTGGCTGGCGTCGTACACTACCTGCCAGTGGTGTGGCTGGTGTCGTACACTAGCTGCCAGTGGTGTGGCTGGTGTCATACACTACCTGCCAGTGGTGTGGCTGGCGTCGTACACTACCTGCCAGTGGTGTGGCTGGTGTCGTACACTAGCTGCCAGGTGGTGTGGCTGGTGTCGTACACTAGCTGCCAGTGGTGTGGCTGGTGTCGTACACTACCTGCCAGTGGTGTGGCTGGTGTCGTACACCAGCTGCCAGTGGTGTGGCTGGTGTCGTACACCAGCTGCCAGTGGTGTGGCTGGTGTCGTACACTAGCTGCCAGGGGGTGTGGCTGGTGTCGTACACTAGCTGCCAGGTGGTGTGGCTGGTGTCGTACACCAGCTGCCAGTGGTGTGGCTGGTGTCGTACACTACCTGCCAGGTGGTGTGGCTGGTGTCGTACACTACCTGCCAGTGGTGTGGCTGGTGTCGTACACTAGCTGCCAGTGGTGTGGCTGGTGTCGTACACTACCTGCCAGTGGTGTGGCTGGTGTCGTACACTAGCTGCCAGTGGTGTGGCTGGTGTCATACACTACCTGCCAGTGGTGTGGCTGGTGTCGTACTCTACCTGCCAGTGGTGTGGCTGGTGTCGTACACTACCTGCCAGTGGTGTGGCTGGTGTCGTACACTAGCTGCCAGTGGTGTGGCTGGTGTCAAACACTACCTGCCAGTGGTGTGGCTGGTGTCGTACACTAGCTGCCAGTGGTGTGGCTGGTGTCATACACTACCTGCCAGTGGTGTGGCTGGCGTCGTACACTACCTGCCAGTGGTGTGGCTGGTGTCGTACACTAGCTGCCAGTGGTGTGGCTGGTGTCGTACACTACCTGCCAGTGGTGTGGCTGGTGTCGTACACCAGCTGCCAGTGGTGTGGCTGGTGTCGTACACCAGCTGCCAGTGGTGTGGCTGGTGTCGTACACTAGCTGCCAGTGGTGTGGCTGGTGTCGTACACTAGCTGCCAGGTGGTGTGGCTGGTGTCGTACACCAGCTGCCAGTGGTGTGGCTGGTGTCGTACACTACCTGCCAGGTGGTGTGGCTGGTGTCGTACACTACCTGCCAGTGGTGTGGCTGGTGTCGTACACTACCTGCCAGTGGTGTGGCTGGTGTCGTACACTACCTGCCAGTGGTGTGGCTGGTGTCGTACACTAGCTGCCAGTGGTGTGGCTGGTGTCATACACTACCTGCCAGTGGTGTGGCTGGTGTCGTACTCTACCTGCCAGTGGTGTGGCTGGTGTCGTACACTACCTGCCAGTGGTGTGGCTGGTGTCGTACACTACCTGCCAGTGGTGTGGCTGGTGTCAAACACTACCTGCCAGTGGTGTGGCTGGTGTCATACACTACCTGCCAGTGGTGTGGCTGGCGTCGTACACTACCTGCCAGTGGTGTGGCTGGTGTCGTACACTAGCTGCCAGTGGTGTGGCTGGTGTCATACACTACCTGCCAGTGGTGTGGCTGGCGTCGTACACTACCTGCCAGTGGTGTGGCTGGTGTCGTACACTAGCTGCCAGGTGGTGTGGCTAGTGTCGTACACTAGCTGCCAAGTGGTGTGGCTGGTGTCGTACACTACCTGCCAGTGGTGTGGCTGGTGTCGTACACCAGCTGCCAGTGGTGTGGCTGGTGTCGTACACCAGCTGCCAGTGGTGTGGCTGGTGTCGTACACTAGCTGCCAGTGGTGTGGCTGGTGTCGTACACTAGCTGCCAGGTGGTGTGGCTGGTGTCGTACACCAGCTGCCAGTGGTGTGGCTGGTGTCGTACACTACCTGCCAGGTGGTGTGGCTGGTGTCGTACACTACCTGCCAGTGGTGTGGCTGGTGTCGTACACTACCTGCCAGTGGTGTGGCTGGTGTCGTACACTACCTGCCAGTGGTGTGGCTGGTGTCGTACACAACCTGCCAGGTGGTGTGGCTGGTGTCGTATACTACCTGCCAGTGGTGTGGCTGGTGTCGTACACTACCTGCCAGTGGTGTGGCTGGTGTACACTACCTGCCAGTGGTGTGGCTGCTGTCGTACACTACCTGCCAGTGGTGTGGCTGGTGTCGTACACTACCTGCCAGTGGTGTGGCTGGTGTCGTACACTACCTGCCAGTGGTGTGGCTGGTGTCGTACACTACCTGCCAGTGGTGTGGCTGGTGTCGTACACTACCTGCCAGTGGTGTGGCTGGTGTACACTAGCTGCCAGTGGTGTGGCTGGTGTCGTACACTAGCTGCCAGTGGTGTGGCTGGTGTCGTACACTAGCTGCCAGGTGGTGTGGCTGGTGTCGTACACTACTTGCCAGTGGTGTGGCTGGTGTCGTACACTACTTGCCAGTGGTGTGGCTGGTGTCGTACACTACTTGCCAGTGGTGTGGCTGGTGTCGTACACTAGCTGCCAGTGGTGTGGCTGGTGTCGTACACTAGCTGCCAGTGGTGTGGCTGGTGTCGTACACTAGCTGCCAGTGGTGTGGCTGGTGTCGTACACTAGCTGCCAGTGGTGTGGCTGGTGTCGTACTCTACCTGCCAGTGGTGTGGCTGGTGTCGTACACTAGCTGCCAGTGGTGTGGCTGGTGTCGTACACTAGCTGCCAGTGGTGTGGCTGGTGTCGTACACTACCTGCCAGTGGTGTGGCTGGTGTCGTACACTACCTGCCAGTGGTGTGGCTGGTGTCGTACACTACCTGCCAGTGGTGTGGCTGGTGTCGTACACTACCTGCCAGTGGTGTGGCTGGTGTCGTACACTACCTGCCAGTGGTGTGGCTGGTGTCGTACACTACCTGCCAGTGGTGTGGCTGGTGTCGTACACTAGCTGCCAGTGGTGTGGCTGGTGTCGTACACTAGCTGCCAGGTGGTGTGGCTGGTGTCGTACACTACTTGCCAGTGGTGTGGCTGGTGTCGTACACTACTTGCCAGTGGTGTGGCTGGTGTCGTACCCAACCTACCAGCTGAAGCTACACACCATGACACCCACGTCAAGCAAGTCAATCGCAGCCATGCCTTCAGCTGTGGTAAGTACAAATATTTTATATTTGTTTATATTTCATATATCTCACTACACAGGTACGTAGACAAAATTTCAGTTCAATTTTTATATTTTCTTGGTGGAGCCTAGTGTTTTTAATAATCATATTTATATTTGGTTAAGCTTTTCTAGGCCTTCCATAGTCATATAATAACAACTAGAATTGTATTCTTATTTTACTGAATTTCTTATTTTTAAAATAAAAAAAACAGCCCAAGATGGAAAGCCCCCAAATACCAAATCGAAAAGGCAATGAATATTTTCTAAAGTCTATGGAGAAAATTAAATGGCTTTCTCCTTGAATGAGAACAGTTCAACCTGTCCTCTCCACTAGTACGTCTCATTTTGCACGTTATGGTCCTCATGAAACAAATTACAATTATGAAAAACATCGGTGCTCAAATATCCTCCTTTTCTATACATCATTAGGTTAGGTTAAGTAGGTTGCTTAGGGTTGTACATTTTTGGGTAGGTTAGGAGGTTGAATTTTGTTCACTGTAGCAGATCAAGAGAACGGGTTGAATAGTTAAATGTTTTTGTGTGGGTATAAAATTGGTTTACAATTTATCATGAGGATAGCGTGAGCCGCCTCATGCCTCACAGTGCGTTTATATCCCAACTAATTTCAGAATCATTTTACAGTATATGTTAATAACATAAAGTATACTTATAGGAATGCGGTGGCAGTAATAATAGTATTGTGGTGGTAATTATAATGTGGTGGTAATTATAGACTGATTGATTAATGAAGATTAAGCCACCCAAGAGGTGGCACGGGCATGAATAGCCCGTAAGTGGTAGATTTTAGGGATTGAGTGATCCTTGGTCGTTGACCAGACCACACACTAGAAATTGAAGGGACGACGACGTTTCGGTCCGTCCTGGACCATTCTCAAGTCGATTGGTCGTGAAAGAATATACTGGGTGGTGTGCTCGTATCTAAATCGTCAGTCCTTACTTTATTATTATTATTATTATTATTACTATTTTCTACCACAGACGTGGCCACACAGTTACAATGCTAACCAGCATATATACATTTTCTTCTGTCCTCCATGGACAGGGTGAGAGATTTGTCAAACATACAGTTCAGGAATTTATTGAACAATCAACCACAGAAGGTGATTGTAGTGCTTTTAAAATGCTGGGCTAAGCTACATACGTAAATACATAGATACACAGATTTATGTATGGTACATAAAGTGTTCGATGTGTCTTTTACATAGTGTCATTAATGTGCATTTACAAAGGCGAAACGTAACTCTGATCAGCTTCCACATATACTTTATACACATACATACACACACATATACATACACACATACATTTGTCTCTGTTACTCTGACAGGGTGAGATAGCTGATAGAGAAAGTAGTGTGCAATTAAGAACTTAACCACTGAAGGTGATTAAGATGCTTTCACAAGCTCCGGTTATATAGTTACATCACATACATTGATCCTTATATTGTATAAGGATCAATATATTGTATATACACATATATATTGTATATACAATATATTGTATAATACATTACATGCTCAATCTAGGGGTACAAGTCCAATATGTCATCAAGTGTTCCAGTACTCATATAATAGTTACTATGTGATTTTTATCGCGGGTGAGGATACTGCTTAATAGTATTTATGAGGGTGTCCAGCTGCTGGACATCTTTTGGTAATTATAGTATGGTCGTGGTAATTATGGTATGGTGGTCGTGGTAATTATGGTATAGTGGTCGTGGTAATTATGGTATAGTGGTCGTGGTAATTATAGTGTCAATAATTATAATGTGGTGGCAGAAATGATGTATTCTATTATGGTTTCAAAGTTATGTTTTGCAAAGTTCCTGCTGTTCTTTGTTCTCTGCTATTCAAAGTTCTTACCTGTTCTGTTATCCTAGCTATAATGTTATCAGTAATAGTTGATTATATGAATGCTGACAGAAATGGTCGATTGTAATGAAAACATGTTAATGATGGCATAAAAATAGTTGATGATAAAGATAACATAATCATGATGACAAATTATTGATTATGATGATAAGTGATAACAGAAATTGGTTGATTATAATGATGATAACATACTAATGACAAATGGTTGATTATGAGGATAATAAAATAATAAAGGTGATAAATGGTTGATTATAAGGATGATAATATAATAATGACATAAATTGTTGATTATAATATCAAACTAATGATGGCAGAAATGGTTGATTATATTGATAATTTGCTAATGACGACAGAAATTGTTGAGTATAGTGATAACATGCTAATGATAACAGAAATGTTTGATTTATGAAGATGATAACATAGAATTGATGAATGAAATAGTGGATTATTGTAAAATGACATCGTTATGCATCATTATTTCGGCAGAAAGTCATTCCTCCTCACTCACCTTGTCAATTGTTCTGCTGTTGAGTTCATTGATATAGATGGATGAGAAGTTGAATAAGGGGTTGTGGAGGGGTGGTCCGGGGAAGCCGATGTCGTAGTTGACGATGGCCATTGGGAGGTTGTAGGGTGTTCCTCCCACCGTCAGACAGAAGAGTACCGTCTGTAGGGGCGGCATGAGGAACGAGAACAACAGGAATCTGCAGGAGGTGATGCAGTGCCGTCAACGGAAGAATATGATTATAGCATGTATAGGACAGATAAGATTTAGATTTAGAGTTAGATTTTTTTATTCAGGTAAAGGTACATACATTGAAGACAATGCTTGCTATGGCATGTATAGGACGGATAATAATGTTTAAGGTGTGCGAGTAGACTCGCCTGTTTGTGCATGCAGGACTGAGCTTTAGCTGTTGGGCTCTGCCTTTCTCGCCGCCTGTTGTCTGATGCAATGACTCCTGACCTTTTTTTTTAATTGTTAATGGAATGTGTGTGTTTTCTTAGCGATTCTTACCTAACAGAGTTTGCAAGACAGAGCTTCGGCTCTTGGACCACGCCTACCCAACTTTCGTTCGTTGAGTGTAATGTGTACTCGCCTATTTGTGTTTGCGGGGGTTGAGCTTCAGTTCTTTGGTCCCGCCTCTCAACCGTCAGTCAACTGGTGTATAGGTTCCTGAGCCTGTTGGGCTCTATATGTGTGTCTACATGTGTACGTATGCGTGTGTGTGACATGTACACATAACTGTGTGTACATAAGGGATAAATAAAAGACAAACTCACCCAATGTTCCTCCAAAGGCGAATGAAGTTCTTCATGAGGAGGGCGGAGAACCGGTCATGGGAGAACATCCTCTCGTACTTAGATGTCTGCACCCAGGGGTCCTGTGTGTGTGCCAGAGGCTCGTGTTATGCACTGTTCATCATCTGCGCGCGCACACGCGTGCACACACACACACACACACATATGACAGAGTACTGGGAAGACGGGACACCACAAGCGTACCTCTCATCCTGTAACTACTCTTAGATAATTACACACACACACACACACACACACACACACACACACACACACACACACACACACACACACACACACACACACACACACACACTTTCATACGAACAAATTGTGTACGTGTGTGTATATTCACTCAATTAAGAGTGCACACCTAAAATAACTTACACATATCTGAATTACGATTTTTTGTAATTATTCTTGCCTTGTGGCCCCACTACCATTCACCAACAGAAACAACCTAACAAATCACCATCAAGATGCTATCTTCATCGGAGTCTCTCAGGGTCACCAGGCCAGTGTCGGGGTTAATCACCTCCTTGAGGTCAGAGGTCAAGCCCCGGGCTGCTGGAAGTGACCCGGAAGTGACCTTCTGAACTGGTAACCCGTCTTCCTCAAATGCCTTGTTATGCTGGAGGAAGATTTCAAAGTTAGACGCTGAAAGGAGTGAAATTAATCATCTTATTTTCATATGTCGTATCAATAATTACATTATTAGTTTTTTGGGGGGGTGCGTGATAATAGTCCACAATAGATAACTGGCCAACCAGCAAGCATACTTTAGTCCTGAACATTATCTAGGATAAGAGTAAATTATCTGTATACTGTATATACAATGAGAGCCAGAATCATCCCACTACACTGTCAAATAAATTCCTTGTAGTTCATAGCATTTGTACTCTACTGTAGCTTGAGTGGCTGTGTGTGTGTATTCTAGGCGTTTCGGCATATAAATGTTAAATTATTTATTTTGCCAATGTGTGTGTCGCCATTCAGATTGTAAGGTCTATTTTATTATATTTATGCCTAAACATTTTATTAATTATTTAGTTGTTCAGTAGAGATGGAATTGTAACTATTTGTATAAAACTTCAGAAACAGAAATCTGTGAAAAGTTCAGTGTACATTTGTAATTCCTTTAACTCAGTTTTCTTTATATAATAGTATATAAATCCTGTGTAACCTTACAAGGGGGCAACAGCTTCGAACTACATCAAGCCAATTGAAGATACCTTTGCACCCACAGGGTAATAAACCCCTGGGGCCAGATTCACGAAGCAGTTACGCAAGTACTTACGAACGTGTACATCTTTCCTCAATCTTTGACGGCTTTGGTTACATTTATTTAACAGCTTACAAGCATGAAAACTTTCTAATCAACAGCCTCCTGGTGCTTCGGAGCTCATTAACTGTTTAATAATTGTAAACAAAGCCGCCAAAGATTGACAAAAGATGGACAGGTTCGTAAGTGCTTGCGTAATTGCTTCGTGAATCTGGTCCCAACCCGGCGATGCCGTAAATACCAAGACCTTAGTTAAGCTAAAAAATCATCAGCAAAAAAAAATCCTCAGGAGTAATGGAGATTTTGGCAAGCTGCCGGCTTCCTGTCCCCGTCGAGGTCACTAGAGATGGTGGCCCTCTTGGAAATTTTGTCTCACAAGACTATTCTTCGCGTGACCTGGCACTACCGGCTTGAATTAATGACCCGTGAGCGGCCATCTACTGACCTGTCCGAGTTTTAGGTCGTCCTCGGCGCCGTCCTGGAGGCAGAGCTTCAGGAATATGTCCTCGAGGGAAGGAATAGCGAAGTGCTGGATGAGGCTGGAGGGGGACGTCTCGGCCAGTAGCCGACCTCCTCGCATCAACCCCACCTGTGGTCGAGGGTGAGGATTGTAGTGGTGGGGTGGTTACTGGTGCAGGTGGTGATGTTGATGGTGATGATGCTGGTGGTGGTAGTGGTGGTGGATATAGTGGGGGGAAATATGTGACAGGTGTATAGGTGTGATGGTCATCATGCGGTAGTGGGTGCTATGATATTATCTTAACATAAATCAGAAATTGTATTTAGTTTACCGCGAACCCGTGACTGGTTCCCAAAACTTCCGTTATAAGAGGGAAGCCCACCAGTCTCACTCGGCCCAGCACAGCACCGATCTTGTGCCACGTAAGTCCACTACGGGCTCACCATAGTCCGTGCTACTTGGAATGTTCCGAGTAGCTGAATCTATAACAGCAGTCTCACTCGGTCTGTCTACTTACCTTGTCCGGGGATCAATGTCCCCGGTCTCTGACCAGGCCTCCTGGTTGGTGGTCTGGTCAATGAAGCTGTTAGAAGCCTCTGCTCGCAGTCTGACGTATGAATCACAGCCCGGTTGATCAGATATCCTTTGGAGATGTTGATCAAGTTCTCCCATGAACACAGAGATCGGCCAGTTATGCCTCTTTTGTAAAAAAAGATTGAAAAGTCTTAGGCCCCCCCTGATGTTGGTAGTTCTCTCTCAGCGAACATTTTGCACCTTTGCTTTTAAATGGGGATATTTTGCACTGCGGTTGGAATCCCAGACCAGATCATGACTTGTATCGTGAAGAATATCTCAGGTCCTCCAGTGACCTAAGTTTACTATGACTCATCAAGGATTTACGTGTTCACTTACGAAACCTGTACATCTTTCATCAATCATGGTTGCTTAGTTTGTATTTATTAAGCAAATTATGAGCTACGAGACTTTCTATAACAACAATAACATTTGGTCGAGAATGACCTTACTACGTTTTACAGATCATAAACTGCTTAATAAATACAAAGTCGCCATGATTCCGGATGTACACACTTCCTAAGTCAACACGTAAATGCCTAATGAATCCTGACCCTAACCTGCAAAATACCTTTTAAGGTAAACTGCACCCACAATTGTCAACACGTTCGTAAGATCTGATGTACGTCTAATTTGTAGTGGTTTTACTGAACCAAAAGCGTACGAATGTAGACCAACCCATCTAACCCATGGAGGCCGGTGCTCCTTAATCCCAAGAAACGTGTAAAGTATGGTGCCTTAACCATAGGCTGAATGCCTATGGTTAAGGCAAAGGGTTAAGGCATTTTAACTATGGTTAAATGCCAACAATCGACTTGAGAATGGTCCAGGACGGACCGAAACGTCGTCGTCCTTTCACCTTCTAGTGTGTGGTCTGGTCAACATACTTTAGCCACGTTATTGTGACTCATCGCCTGCATATGGTGCCTTAATTTCAGTGAAGACCAACAAGTCTGACGCTAAGTGTCCATATAGTTCACCCGATTTTGGGTTTTATGAGGGCAGGTTAGGTTCAGTTAGGACAAGTCAGGTTTTGTTAGATTTAGTTAAGCTAAGTTAGGTTTAGTTAGACTAGGTCAGGTTTTGTTAGATTTAGTTAAGCTAAGTTAGGTTTGCTGCAATATAAAATCCAATAGATGCGAATAATGGATGCAAACAGCATTTTGGTAAGTACGATTATGTACTGTGTACAATTAAGCATTGCCTTCTTAAAGCTAATTTTTATACATGACAAATGTTGCGATAATGGAAGAGTATTCAGCCTATTCTCTCAGTGTGCCACTCCGTAAAAAATACAACCGTATTGCCTCGCCAGAAACATACGAACTCCATCAACCCACATAACGTATCGAGTCGGATGCATATAATACATCAATATTACTTGTGCTGCTTTGATAGTGATTCGTCGCATTTTTAACGGTTTGTAAAATAATGTTAGCTGAGGAGCGCCATACCCTGTCTGCCTGTCTGGCCTCCTCGATGTAGTGAGTGGTGATGATGATGGTCGTACTGGCTGTCTTGCACACGTCCAGCAGATGAGCCCAGATGCTGCCAAAAGCAAATGATCATTTAATAATGGTATTTAGTTCATAGTTGATCAGACCACACGCTAGAAGGTGAAGGGACGACGACGTTTCGGTCCGTCCTGGACCATTCTCAAGTCGATTGTACACATTCCCAAGTCACAATCGACTTGAGAATGGTCCAGGACGGACCGAAACGTCGTCGTCCCTTCACCTTCAAGTGTGTGGTCTGGTCAACATAATTTAGCCACGTTATTGTGACTCATCGTCTGCATTTAGTTCATAGCTCTTGAGAGGTACAAGTAATTGCTTCAGTATGTGTGTGTATGGATATAGAAGGTGTTGCAAGGGCAGCAGTGATGATAGTAGACGTATTGCTAGCAATATTTGCACTGTTGTTAGTAAGAAAAGATGTAGGCAAAGAAATAATTGTGTGACTCACGTGGTGTATATTCCCGAGCCTGACGGGACACTTTAGGCAAACGAAAGATATGAGAGTAGTGGGTTGGTAGGATGGGAGGGGACTGGATGGAAGGGAATGGATGCAGGCATGGTATAAGGAAAAGAACGGAAGGGTAATATTGGGGGAGGGGTGTTAGTTTAAGGGGAGAGGAGGAGAGAAGAGAATGAGACCCACCTGCTCCTCAGTAGAGGGTCGACACCGACGGTGGGCTCGTCAAGGATAAGTAGGTCTGGTTCGTGGAGTAAGGCCGCTGCGAAGCTCACCCTCCTCTGCTGCCCTCCGCTGTGGAGACATCAAGGCCTTGTCAGTAAGCCTCCGGCTACTGCTACCTCCTTGACACAGTTTTTAACTATATATTTTACGATAGGCCAGACAATTTATAGTGGGCACTTGAAGCTTATACTTCAACTGGAGTTAATACGGGTGCTGGCAACCTTATCTTAGAACCAAAAGTTTCAGAAAATTAAAAATGATTTGTGCTTTATGGTACTATCGGGATTATTCTGTGAGCTCAAGTATATTTGGGTCTCTTTCTGACCTGCTCTCTGCCCTCTCTGGCCTGCCCTCTGCCCTCTCTGGCCTACCCTCTGCCCTCTCTGACCTACCCTCTGCCCTCTCTGACCTGAGCTGGCTGACAAGCCTGGTGGGGTCCGGAAGGTCGAGGAAGTTGACCAGGAACTTGGACTTCTCCGAGATACTTTTTGAGTTCATCTGGTGGATCCTGCCGAAGTACCTTAACGTCTCCAGGATGGTGAACTCTTGATACAGAGCCAGCTCCTGTAGTAGGGAAGGTCGGGGTTAGTGCAGTTGTGTAACCTGCCTACCGTGTTTTCTGCCACTATCTCTTGGGAGCATAAGGACACTGACTTTAGGGACTATTCTCTATGTCACTATCGGGACTATTACCGTCTGGATTATGGATATAGATCATTCTCTCGGCCTCAATATTCTTAATAGAGCTAAATGTACCAAGTGTGTTCTTAGCGAATATTTAATGTAGGACAGTTATCAGTTATCACGTCTGCAAGAATGAACACTGTTAATTTTCGTACTCTTAGTCTGTGTCTGTGTAGTCATCGTGGACTCAGCTGTGACTTGTGTGTATTCATCGTGAGACTCATCATGTGCCCTCTACAGGAATATTTTGCTTAGTCTTATCAATGGCTAATTACGTAGTATAAACCCTCACCTGGGATATGTATGGACTGTACCTGGGGGCATATAGGACTGTACCTGGGGCATGTAGCCGACTCGGTGGCCAGGAACGGCGGCGGCAGATGTTCCTGGAGGAAAGCCGTAGAGGAAGATCTCTCCCTTGTCAAGCTTGAGGCGGTTTACCAGACACCCCAGCAATGTGGTCTTCCCGCACCCGCTGGGACCCAGCAGCCCGTAGCTGTGGGAGAGGGGTAACTGAGGGTTAGGAGCCTGTTGTTGTTTAAGATTCGCTACCCGGAACACAAAGTTCCAGGCAAGCACGGGCTATGGTGAGCCCGTAGTTTGGGAGCCTGGCAAGCACACACCCAAACGTGAAAATGAAGACTTGTCAACGTTTCGGTCCGTTCTGGACCATTATCAAGTCGTGATAATGGTCAAAGATGGACGAAAATGTCGTCACTTCTTCATTTTCAAATTTGTGGATTGGACGTCTAATTTTCAACCATGTTATTGTGACCCTTCTGCAGCCTGGAAATATATAGTGGTGGCATATTACCTATAAGACTCTTTGGCATTTTCACATACTCTTGGCCTCTGTAAGGCATTATCACACTGTTGGAACCAATGAGCCTATTCACCGTTAAGTGTTTCAAATGAGTTCTGCAGTATGACACTATTACATGAACTCTGGAAGGTATAACTTTATCATTACTACTCTACCATGGCACCCCTTAAAGCCCTACAATACCATCACCACAATCTTCCCTGAAGAGCCTTACAGTGCTCTCATATGGCATTCTGCAAAGCCAAACAACATCCTCACTACACTCACATGGCACCTTGGGGAACCCTCATGTCCAGGCTCTCCAAGACTGCGACCTTCTTCGACCTGGACCCGTAGGACTTGTAGCCTTTCTCAACCACCACCACATTCCCGGTCATACCACGGAGTCTGTCACGGCTGCAGCTGTCAGGAAGGAGGATGAGAGGCGCTGCAATGCGTCAGTCAAATTATATAGAGCTAGTGACCCATAACAACCACAACAATAACAATAATAGTAGCATAATATCAATACTATCAATAGGATAAAAACCCACACGTTTATGTTAAGAATTATACCAAATCTTTCGCCCTCTCGTGAGTGCTTTGTCAAGGTCTGAGTGTGTGGTTAGGACGAGACTTGCATCTCAACGACTTGATTAGTCGTTGAGATGTGAGTCTCGTTTGTGAGAAGACATTATAATTACTTAATATTATTAATAATTATAAGTAGATTAAGAGTAGACGACGTTTCACCTTTAATGGCTTTATATACAGGTCTCATAAAGGGGAAAACGTAAGGAGGGAATTATTACTTAAGATCATAAAGTTTTAATTAAGTAAAATGTAGAGAAATGTTGAAATTTTCTCCATTCTGTTCGATGTAGTGTTTGATAGCTGCGGATTATGTACACTGTCTCCTAAAGTTGTTTAACTCTTTGTCGATGAGTTTAGCATCCTTGTTGATCATTAGGTCTGGGTTCCCCATGTATGAGACAAGTTTTGTTGTCAGTGGCCTCTGCACGGCAGGTATACTTGTATTCATAAATTCTTGCATCTGATTTTCAGTATGTTTCTCCTCCTTCCATTTTATCTGAACTGTTGCAGGGGTATAATATTCACCCTGGATGTAGTAACGCTGATGCTAAAAGTTCGACTTTTGATAAGGATTCTGATTATTCAAATAAAAAATTCAAATGTTTATTTAGGTAAAGTACATACATAGTTGCAGAGTTACAGTACAAACATTCTGTTTGATTTAAAGGTAGATATAGATATAGGTAGACAATACAATACCTAAAGCCACTAGTACGCATAGCGTTTCGGGCAAGTCACTAAGTCAATCATTAAGCCAGTTAAGTTAAGCCCCGTTGGGTCTGGCAGATAACAGAATGGGTAACCGTGCGGGCAGCCTCGCCCTTGTATAGGAGAACCTCGATAAACCTGGCAAACTTCCTACTACCGACAGTGTGGTACCAGAAAATCATGTCTCACAGCACCTAAACACTCACTTGAGAAGAGTTTACCCCTTTATCATTTTATTCCGTTTTCTTCTACATACAGAGTAAAAATTATAGAAAACTAGTTCAATGTTTGAGGGGGTATCTTATCTATAGGAGAATGGGGATGACCAGTGTTTAAAAATGGCAAAAAATCTGGACTCCTGGTTCAACCTTGACGAAGAGTGGACGTCTGGATACTCAAGGTCTAATGGCCTGAGGTCACAGGAATGTCTGTCGATTTTTTTCCGTTTTTCCAGTTGGATCTTGTGATGGAGCGACGGTCTTCGCCGCCGGTTTGGCCAAGAGGTGCTGCTCACAGCGGGTTTTGGTGGGCTCCTCGGAGCGGGGTTTGCATCTGTCTCGTACATGTATGTATACATGTGTATATGTGTTACATGTAACATTAACAATTGTGTAACTAGCTTCACAAGATTGTCACTTGCTTAGCTAAAGGAACTATGGGGTTCAGTTCCTGAACCGATTGTGTGCCTCTGTAACCCTTTCCACCACCGACATAATCAAGAAATGAAGTGGAACATTAAACTGTTGCTCTGCCATATATCTCTGGAAAACGTTTTTGCCCTATAGGGCTTGAGCTTAGGAAGGGCCAACACGGATCTAATGTTAGGCTGTGACTTTGTCTTTATAACTTTATAACTTTCGATTACCCAGAGTTCACAAGACACCTGATGCCTTTAATGTCTGGGGTCACTGGATGTCGATAGTCGTCCGCTGGTTCTCTGTGTGGGGTTCGACGTTTGGGGGGACCCAAAGCGGCCACCAAACGTTTGCCTAATAATGTTTTTCATCTGCCGCAAGACACAATGGTTTGCCATTGACAGGCGACGAGTTTACAGCCGCGGGTGTTTGCGGCTGTAAACACGTTCCCTCTGCAAGGGAGCGCGGGGCACAGATGACATTTATGCTGCCTGGGCGTCTAAATCAACAACAACAAACTGTCCAAAAGTCACGCTATTCTCTGTCATCGCTGCTCATGAAACAAGCCTATTCTATCTTAATCTAACCCGCCTTACCTAATAAAAATAATTTAGTTGTATATATATTGTGTGTTGCGTTATAGTCTTAACTCTAGGGGCAATTTTTGTATGCAGATGATGATGAACAGTCTGAACAGTTTGAACAGTTTGTTCAAACTAACACACTTCTCTTGAGGTTGGTTATCTTGAGATGATTGCGGGGCTTAGCGTCCCCGCGGCCCGGTCCTCGACCAGGCCTCCTTTTTGTTATACACACCCCCTCCCTCCGGGGAGCAGCCCGTAGAAGCTGTCTAACTCCCAGGTACCTATTTACTGCTAGGTAACGGGCATCAGGGTGAAAGAAAAATATTGCCCATTTGTCTCCGCCTCCACCGGGGATCGAACCCGGAACCTCAGGACTACGAATGCGAAGCGCTGTCCACCCAGCTGTCAGGCGCCTAATAACGTACGTAACGAACGTACGAATCTGGTTCGTTCTTCTCAAGTTCAAGTTCAAGTAAGTTTATTGAGACGAAAAAAATACATCTCAAAAGGATAGAGTAGCTTAGGCTACTTCTACCCCCATACATTCTTCTCCTGCTTCTAATGCTGCTGGTGTGTATTCTATTTCCTGTTCGTCTTGTCCTGTCCAATACTTTGGTGCAACTGGCCGTACACTTAATGACAGACTTAAGGAACACAAAAGAAGTGTTAAGTCTGCAGACACTAACAATGGTCTCTTCTGTCATGTTAGGGATTCTAATCATCCTATTGATTGGTCTTCCTCTAAAATAATCTTTCCTGCCTCTACTCTACCCAGACGCCGTCTTGTTGACGGGGCTCTGATACACAACCTACCCAGCCTGAACCTGAGTCCTGGCTTTGTTGCTGTTGACTCTTCCCTTTTCACAGTTTATACTCAAATATTATAAACTTTCTAACAAACGTGACCTAACATAAGCCTACCCATTCTTTCTCTTTTTATTCTTTTACTTGCTCTTTACTAACCCTGTTAGTAAAGTCCTCCTCAACTTTCTCTCTTGCCTTTCTCGTCTCTTCACTTACGGGTTATTCATGCCCGTGCCACCTCTTGGGTGGCTTAATCTTCATCAATCAATCGTCTCTTCACAATCGACTTGATAATGGTCCATGACGGACCGAAACGTCATCTTCTAGTGTGTGGTTTGGTCAGCAATTTTTGTATACTACTGGAGTGGATGGGTTATATCCACGTACTTCACTCAGATAAAAAGCCTTGGACTTGGCTCGGAGGACCTCGATAAGGCTCGAAACAAAAATAACTTGTAGCAACAAATAAATAAATAGCCTTCAAGTCTACAGCCGACCTTTAACAGGAGATAGCTGAGGGCCAGCTCGGACCAGGGCGGGGGAGGTGGAGAGCTTCGGTATGATAGTAGATTATGAATATTGTGAAACTCGCATGACAAATACCCGTCTCTCTCTCAACTAACCCGAATGTACCTGAGGAAGACTTGGCCTCGCCGAGGGCACGAAGCCGGGCGGCCTGTCACTGGTCCTCCAGTTTGTCCTCATGATTTTATCAAGTTGAGTTTTATAATTCATCTGAGTTTTGGCATTTACGGCTTTGGCGGTTACACAGGTTTATAACCCTATGGGTGAAAAAGCATCGGTTTTCTGTTGACCAGACCACATTAATGTTAGGATCGACGTTTCGGTCCGTCCTGGACCATTCTCAGTCGACTTGAGAATGGTCCAGGACGGACCGAAACGTCGTCGTCCCTTCACCTTCTAGTGTGTGGTCTGGTCAATATACTTTAGCCACGTTATTGTGACTCATCGCCTGCATCTGTTTTCTGATTTCAAGCCGAGCGTGAAACCATTGCTCCTTGCTTATGTTACATCTGACCTTTCAAAGAAGTCTGGATCAGTTTTCACCAAATTGTCCAGTATTTTAAACGTTTCCATGAGATCAGCCCTGTCAGTTTGACAAGTTTCATTCCGTACAATCAGTACAATTCCAAACGCCTTGAGTAACGAGAAATGTTGGAATGTAAAGACATATGTTTACAAAACAGCATGTAACTAAATTTAAATCATAGTTCCCTTAATATAATCCAGCTAAACTAATCTTGTGTTATCGGGTGATTTATCAGTGGTACGAGGAATGGGTTCGGGTGTATATGGCTCATTTGGGGGGAAACATTCTCCGGTATCATGTCTGGTGTACCGCAAGCCATCTCTTATCTCCTTCAGTCTTTTGATCTTGAGTGGGGTCACAGAAGATAAAACTCCCATGGTGGATCACATTGATGGTGTGTGTGTGTGACCCAAGCTGTGCCTGGGTATTGAACTGGAACGGTCAATTAAAGGTCACAGTCATGGGATATGTCCTGGAAATGCGAGAGGTCACCGAGGAACACAGAACTTGTACTCTGGAATTTGTAACGCTTTCTAGAGTCCAATTTTGTTTAAAGGTGATATAAAGAATTAATTTGTACAAGAGGTTGGCTCCCAGAAGCTGAGATTTTGAAGTGTGTGTTCTAACTCAGACCCAGCAGGTAGTGTAAGTGTCTTAGCTCAGACTTAGCAGGTAGTGTAAGTGTCCTGACACAGACCAAGCTGGAAGTGTAAGTGTCCTGACACAGACCCAGCAGGAAGTGTAAGTGTTCTGACACAGACCCAGCAGGAAGTGTAAGTGTCCTGACACAGACCCAGCAGGAAGTGTAAGTGTCCTGACACAGGCCCAGCAGGAAGTGTGCGTGTCTTCGCCTTACCTGGGTTTGGTCGTGTCCGTCTTGGGTGTCGGGTTAACCATGACGAAGCTATTGGTCACCTGGTCCAGTCTAGTAAGTGTCACGTCGTTCTGAAGCGTTTGAGTCGTACGCTCGTTCATGCTGATGACTTCCGTGGCTTCCGTGACGCTGTAGACAGCGGTACTGCTGCTGGTCTTAAAGATCGCCAACTCGGTCATCCTGGCGTCAGAGATTTCCCGCTAACACAAGTGGCGTTAGACTCACTAACGCTGTTGTCTACAGGATGGTAATCAGAAATATATCGAAGGCACGCGAGTACATCTAGTCCTTCATAAACGATCTGTTAACTGTTTATAAACACTGCACTAATGATGAAGAGATAGTTAATCTTTGGGTTTAAAACCTCAGTTAGTTCCTTCGTAGCTTCAGTAGTGTAAGTCTTAAGCGGATTGTTGAAAGTGTTCCGAACGCATGGAAGTCTCTTGAAACGCGACACGTAAAACGTTCTGGGAAGGACTTTCGGAACCGGACGAAGAGCCTCTGGTTCCTCACAGAAAGAGAAGAGTTCCTGGGCGCGAACGATCGGGTTGTGAAGAGTGACCAATGCACAGGTCGAAGCGAGCAGCGTATCAGGCACCAGCGTGTGTGTGCGGCTGGCCGCCTGCCACTATCTTATCTAATGGCTCCCTGATACCCTGGCAATGTTTAGTACCAGTTAGATCGCTCGTGTTGGGTAATGGCTCTTTAATAACCCCCCGAGAACCCTTACAACACTAATACTTATTTGAATGGTGTTGTAGGTCTCATATCTAAGGCTGGGGGTTCTAATACTTTAGTTGTGTCAGTCTCGTTCTCTTACAAGGCAATTCAATCAGCTTACATAGTTTTGGTACTTCTTTGTACTTCATATGAGTGTCACGAGACGAGCGGTACGTCTCAAGAGACTAGTAGAGGTGTTGCTGATTGATATTTGATATTTACAGTGATGTAATAACATTGTAAATCATACAGGCAAAACACAGGTCTTCAACACCAAGTCAGGAAACATAACAAACAGCTTTGTCAATCACTATCATTGTGATAACGAAAGAAGGAGATCTTGGTGCGCGTGTCCTCTACTTATCAGTATTCATTAAGCAATATTTCTGACCAGTGCACATGTACTTTCCCTTCACCTGCTGTGTACTTGATGTTTCTCTATTTTTCACCTTCTTCCTGGCAATCTTTTTCTCGTACAATATTACCAGTTGCAATATGGCCAACAGCCCACAGTGGTTATCCAAGGAGTAAAGTGTTTAAAGCAACATCGCATAGCTCAAGCATATCCCAGCCACTTGGGCTGGACGGCAGAGCGACGGTCTCCCTTCATGCAAGTCTGCGTTTAATCCCCCCTGACCGTCCAAGTGGCTGGGCACCATTCCTTCCCCCTGTCCCATCCCAAATCCTTATCCCGACCCATTCCAAGTGCTAAATAGTCGTAATGGCTTGCCTCTTTCCCCCTTGATAGTTCAATTCCCTTTAAGCATATGACCCCTTTGCGAGGTGTCTATACATTGTAAGTAGTAAGTGTCTATACATTGTAAGTAGTAGGCGTCTATACATTGTAAGTAGATCCTCTGCGACGGGGGTGTCCAAATGGACTGTGCCTGATATTAGCCGCGTCTGATATCTTTCTAATATCTTTCTAAGTGCTCTATCTGCATTTAGAAAGGGAACCAAAATTTCGGTTCACATCAAAATTTACAGATGTAGTTGAGAGTTTAATGATGAAGAAGGCTTCATAGATACTAACATGTGTATTGACGCAACTATTTATTACCGCTATAAGAAGCATCAGACACAAAACTAATTAGACAGTGTGCAGACGAGGAGTCACAATAACGTGGCTGAAATATGTTGACCAGACCACACACTAGAAAGTGAAGGGACGGACAACGTTTCTGTCCGTCCTGGACCATGCTCAAGTCGATTGTGGACAGTGTGACCTGTAACTGTCCCACTGAACGATACTTAGCCCCCTCGGGGGACACCCTGTCTTAACACTCGTTCATGTGACGGGCTTCACTATACGGCTCCTGTCTATGCCGCAATTACAAAGGGGATTTCAGAAGTTCCAATGAGGTTACTAGGGCCTGTCTTGAGTGTCCCTGCACGTGGCGTACGAACTGGATGCTTATCTCACCGATTATGTGGAGATACGAACTCTGCTGGTGGTGGTGCTACAGCAGACCTCGACTACTTATCCCGACTCCAATCCTGGCCTCATTTACGGGCTCACCATAGACCGTGCTACTTGAAACTTTTTGTTCTGAGTAGCTGAATCTAAGACAACAATAACAACCTGGCCTCATATCCCTTCCAAGTGCTATACTGGCTTAGTGATTTCTCCTAATAATGTGATTTATCTCTCGAGTTTTGTCATTATTTCTTTCGCTCACGGATATTGTGAGAGGTTCTCGTCCTCTTCCCAAAGTTTGTGAGTGACTGGACAACTCTTTTGAGTTCACAATGATTCCGTGTGTGGCTAACTACCCTGGGAGATAAATATGAACAAATCCACAAGGGCCGTGACGAGGATTCGAACCTTCTTCCGAGAGCATCCCAGACGGCCCAGATACTAGGTAACATTAGGTGAACCTATAGGTAGTTCTTCTAGGTCAAACAGTATTTGTGTCACGGGGGGACTTTAATTTTAGTGGAATAAACTGGCTTACCAGAACAGGGAATAATGAAGCAGAAGATTTTCTCGGTAACTCTTGATATATACTCTGAGTATATATTCTATACTCTGTGGTTCCTCGTATAGAATTAGGTAGCAGCACGGTGTCTTAGAGTCACGCTACGGTGTCTCTAAGATCGTTAAGAACAAAATGATAAAAAGGCTACCAGCTATTGTTGTTAAAGATTCGCTACTTGGAACAAAGTCCCAAGTAGCACGGACTATGGTGAGCCCCTAGGCTACCAGCGTTCGCACTAAACAATGGGTGGCAGAACTATTCTCATTTTTCACCAGTCACGAAATTCAACCGTTCCCCAGTCGTTATGAGATGACGTGTTCTTGTTAGGGCAATAAACTAGGTGATTATAACAACTCTGGCGCCTAACAACATGGTCTTATCACAACTACAAACAACATGGTCCTACCAACATCACTAAAAACATGGTACTACAACTACTACTACTACTACTCCTCACATCACTCGGTGGACCGTAATACTACCAGCCCGCTGTTATAAATCTCACGAGTATGTCACACACGTTCAGACCGGTTTCTAAAACCGGATTCTTTAATGAGTACGTTACCCACATGAAATTTAAAGCACTGAACGCACCAGTGATGCCGAAAACCCCATTGTGTTGTCATGAGACGTAGATCAAAACCTTTGTTGTGGGCGCCAGCCGCTAGCTCCGGGTCATGCTGTGTCCACTGAGACACATCTGTGTGCACGCTCTGAGGTGTACCTCGCTTCCCGGTGTATGTATAGAGTGTACCGACACCCTAAACTCTATTCGAGGCATAAGTATACTTGCTGATTTTTCAGTAAGTTAATGTAAACAGGGTGATTGGTTAGTATATTGGTGTCTTGCAGAGGATATAGGTCTTACAGCCTATATCTCGCCCATATGTACTTACAGATATAGGCACTTACAGCCCATGGGCCTGATTCACGAAGCAGTTACGCAAGTACTTACGAACGTATACAGCTTTCCTGAATCTTTGACGGCTTGGGTTACATTTATTAAACAGTTTACAAGCATGAAAACTTGTCAATTAACTGTTGTTATTGTTATAAACAGCCTCCTGGTGCTTCGGAGCTCATTAACTGTTTAACAATTGTAAACAAAGCCGCCAAAGATTGAGACAAGATGTACAGGTTCGTAAGTGCTGGCGTAACTGGTTCGTGAATCTGGCCCCATGTGTATATACTGTTTCTATATCCAAACTTTAGTCATAAAGCTTTATATGCTTACAGTTCACAACAAAATGTTCATATATCATTCATTTATGCAAGAACTACTTGGTAATTACAAAGTCTCGCTTTTCATTACATTTCTACACTACATCTACTAATTCATTGACAGTTTGAAGTACATTATTCCTTTATACACAAAAAAAGGTGATGATAAGCGCTATAATTACAAATTATATGATAACATCAAGGCCAGTTTTATCTTAATTATACCTGACATAAGATTTTTAGACGACATTAATAGTGGATTATATAAGACGGGAGACGTAACAAATAGTTCAAAGTATTTATTTTTCTTTGATACGCAAAATCTATGTATATATGATGCATAAAATTATATATTGGAAAGAAATTGTGGAAATAGGCTCAGCTTCTGTCTATGGGAGCCGGTCGGCCGAGCGGACAGCACGCTGAGCTTGTGATCCTGTGGTCCCGGGTTCGATCCCGGGCGCCGGCGAGAAACAATGGGCAGAGTTTCTTTCACCCTATGCCCCTGTTACCTAGCAGTAAAATAGGTACCTGGGTGTTAGTCAGCTGTCACGGGCTGCTTCCTAGGGGTGGAGGCCTGGTCGAGGACCGGGCCGCGGGGACACTAAAGCCCCGAAATCATCTCAAGATAACCTCAAGATATTCTTTATTTGACATCAGTAATAGCATCAGTGGCCAGCCTGGTTCAGACTCGTTACACGCGGGCCGTGTAACGGTTATGATTTCAAATTGTTTTCAAATTCAAATTCTTTGCCAACAGACAGTTTCTTCGTAAGCAGGTATACCCCCCTACCCCCCAGTATCCAGCTGGGGGGTATACCTGCTTTAATTGCTGACGTGTTTTATTGCCCTGTAGATCTGCAATACGTCATTCCTAGGTCGTATTTTTCTTGCAATCAAGTATACATTTCTGGCGAGCTTTGATTGGTCAGTGATAACCGAAGGCCTTGAAGACAAAAACAGATCTATTGTTTACTGGATAAATGACTTCCTTCAGACAAAAGGATATCATTCGTTTGTGAATAATTTCTTAAAGTGTAGGTGTGGACACGAAGACAGGCAATGAGGTCAAAGACGGACTCCTATCTTATCAAGATCTGCATTTCCCAACTCACATAGTTCACAACCTAATAAGAACTAGTCACTGTAAAATAATTTTATTTGGGGCCCTGGCAATCAGGATGACCAATTTCTCTCAATATGACATTTATTCTTAATTTTATATCTCCGTTATCACTGTAAAACTGATCAGCGGACCACAGAACCGGGATTCACCAAGCATTTGCTAATTCACTGGGTTAATGGTGTGTGCATTACGCATCTCTGAAATACGCATCTTGGAAATACGCATCTCGGAAATACGCATCTCTGAAATACACATCTCTGAAATACACATCTCAGACATACGCATCTCGAAAATACACATCTCTGAAATACACATCTCTGAAATACACATCTCTGAAATACGCACATCGGAACGCTAGTTAGCTTAGGACCTCTATACACCTATGAACATAAAGGTAACTTAAGCTTGATTGAACTTTACATTTCGCAGAGACCAATTATAATGCAGCATATATATATGCAGATTTTCATTCCAATGTGATATGCGTACTGATTGGCTGGCTGAGAGGGCACGGGTGGGGGTGGGGGGTATACGCGAGCTGTGAGTGACGCACTCTGTACGCACTCCAC